TATCCAGTGACTGGAGCTCTGGGCTGTGGTTGTGGAGATGGCCTGGCCGCCTCTCCTCTTTATATCCAGCTGCTTCTGTTGTATAAGCCGCCCTGGTGAGTTTGGAATGACGCAGTTCTCTTGATAATCTGCCACAGCACATCAGCAATATCTCAGGATTTTGGATCTTAACTAGGAACTGTATGGCAGACATGTGGTCCCTGCCCTGTGCTCACTTCTCTGGGATGACATGGGCATGTAAACAGAATATCCTAATAGCTGTGGTGAGTCCTGCATTGGCATCAGCATGGAGAGTGTGAAATAATCTCAGGCACATTAGACAAGGTTTCCTTGAGAAGGCGATTTCTTATCCTAGACAAGAAGATGAAGAAGTATTTGTCACACACTCCATCCTAATCTTTATGTGCCATTGTCAACTGGAGGGAATGCCATAAGGTGAAATATGAACTGGAAAATAAAGGAGGGCAGGCCTACATCAGGGGTGGTCAGTTGCCTTCTGAACTCTAGCGATAGAGTTGAAAGTCCAGCAACCCCAGCAAGCTACGAGGTCATTTACATTATTCTTTTTGGCCTAGTTCCAGATTCTGGGGCCCAGGTTCTGGGGTCTTCTCCTAAGCTGCACAGCCTGCCTGCAGGACTGGAAGTTTTTAGATTTTGCACTGCTGTTTACATGAGGTAGTATTGACCAGAATTTTCACAAATGCATTTTATAATAAAAAATGATATAGAGCACAATTATGAGCTGGGATCCAGCACTGCTACGTGCTGGGAAACCAGGAGATCTGAGGTAACTGTTTCCCCTCCACGATTCCAATTCTGGATGGGAAGACACCGGGGAATCTGAGGTGATGTACCCATTGCGGCAGGAGTGGGGTCAGGGTGAAGGAGGCGCAGATGAGGCAGATCATTCCTTTGGGGTGAAGGGATGGCGGTTCACCCTCTGAACGTCTAAGAGGAGTTGACATTACAGCTCAGCCTTGAAATGTAATGTTAATGAGACACATGAAGTATTCAAAGGCATTTCAGGCAGAGGCAGCAGTTTGAAAGGTTGGTACTGAGGCATGAGATACTGAGCTACATTGATGGGGGTGTGTTGTGCATATTTGGAATAACAGCAGCTGATCAACAGGAGGGATTCAGAGGGTGCTGGGCACAGAGGACGTCAGGCACCGGCCTTGGGACTCTGGCATGACGGTTCCTGGGAGTGACCAGCAGTCCTGATGTAGGAGGGAGGAGGAAAGTGGGGGAACATGGTTCTGGGCTAGAGATTGACAGGGAAGGTGTGGCCTGAGGAAAGTGAGCAACAGAGCTAAGAGAGGAAGGAGAGCGATTCTGGGGTGGATCACGGGGCAGGCTGCATGGAGAAGGCAGCAGGGGGCTGGGAAGAAGGGAGAGAAGGAGAGAGAAAAAAAACTCATGATCTGACATTGGGATTTGGGGGTGAAAACTGCAGGTAAGTCCTGAATGCTGATGAGTGCAGAATATGCTCAGGAAGGAATGTTCCTGATGAGGAGAGGAGATGGTGGTCTGTGAACAGAGGTGTGAGCGTGGACAGGACCCGTCATTCCCAAGAACAGATAGCTCATCCTACACACTTCTGCTGGTGGGATGGAAAGAGAATTTTTGAGATAGTTGCCTGATTCCTTTAAGAAAAATGTTGTCCTGACTGGGAGGTTAACAGGAGACTGACCAGGTGGTAAGAGTGATATGGACAGATGATGTGAGCCTCAAGGAGGAACAGAACAGCAGCTGCACAGGACGTGGCCTGGAAGTGACACTGGGGACAGGTGAACGTTGACCCTGTGTTGCGGACTGCATGGAGACACCCACCAGGGCTCTGCCAGGACAGCCCTGTGTCCCGCTCGTTTCTGCATCCTCAGCCCGTAGCATAGTGCCTGACCTGGAGTAGACTACCAGTGACAAACTGCTCCATTTCCACAGACAGAGATGCTGCGAGTTCTCACCACAGTCAGCATGAGCTCCGTGTGTCAGTCCTTAGGGCATTTCCATGGTGCCGCCTTATTCAGGCCAGACTGCTTACTTGGACTCCTGGACTACCTTGAGCTCCTCAAAACCTGAAACATTCATTCATCCCCAGAAATCAGATCCTGGCATTTAACCAAACATCACTGAGGACAGCTTAGGAGCAGGGTGACTCCCTCTGACTTCCACAGGGTCACCCACATAGGCACACACACACAAGCACACAGCAAAGGGACAAGGACGCAGCCCCAGGAGCCCAGGCCACAGGACAAGAGAGTCCATCCTCAGGGCACTGCTGAGCCTCCCATTCACAGCCACAGTGGCCCTGAGCCTGATACCCTCCAGGATTTCTGTTTCCCCAGGCCCTGGAGAATAGCTGGGGTAGGAGCACACTGAGAGATGCCAGCTCCTTCTCCCTGCAGTATCTGAACCCATCTGAATGACCCTGGTCCTTGATTGACAAGGAGGAGCATTGCTGTGACCTGGCGGAGGCTTTCCACCGACTTCCACCTGGAACCTGCCGTGGTGGCTGCATCTAGGGAGAGGGCCAGAGGTGGACACCGGGACCTGTGTGAGAGGCAGCTCAGCTCTGCTGGAAGCCACAGGAGGGACATTGCTGGAGGGACATTACTCCTGGGTGACTCACTGCGTGAGAGTCAGGGGATTCTCCAACAAACTTGACCTGGAATTGGTAGTTTTGACAACGTCAGTCACAAAGAGAGGGACATAAGGCAAGTGTCTCATGGCGGGACACACTTTATTGTTCTGGGGTCTCTGGTGGCCCTGGGTGGGGCTGGATCAGTGGCTTCTCCCGGAACAGGGCTCCGCTCCGTGGCTCTGCTTGTGGTAGTCAATGGCTATGTCTCCCAGAAGGGACAGATACTCAGAAAAATCAATCTTCTTATCCCCATTCTTGTCCTTTTTCTCAAAGGCATTGGCCAGGTAATTTGTGCCCTTTTTGTCCTACGGAGAGAAAAACATACAAACGAGAAAAATTCAATCACAGACAAGTTTTGGAGCTGGGAGAGGAGGGGAGGAGGCAGAGACAGAGACACGTGCCTGACAGCACAGGGCGCGTCGCTGAAGTTGGGGTGAGGATGACTGTGTTACCCCTGGAGTTCCCTAGGGAGACTTTTTGACAAAAACCTCAGGGTGGGAGGCAGGTCCTGTCCCAAAGCACTCTGTTAAGTGATCTTGGCAAGGGGAGTCTCCTGCCCCAGCCTCACTCTCACCTGTCCCCAGCCTTTAAGGGCACTACCTACCTTAGGTCTACCCCAGGTAGACCTCCTCTCCTTTCTTCTCTGACCTCCTCTCCTTTCTACTCTTTTTCCACCAAAGTCATCTTTCTGGGTTCCCTGTTCTTGGTCATCTAGACCCTTAGGCACCTAGTAGCCCACAATACTTTTCAGATTTGCTAATGAGTTTTGTTTATTACAAAGAGGGGTATGAATTTCAACTAGCAATGGAACTTCTAGTGCTTTCCTATCGATCTCAGGGATGTTGATGTGGGGCCTTCGGGAAGCAGGACCTGAGCATGTGAATTTAAGTCTCACAGAGAGAGGGTCAGTGAGCGCTGGGAGGGACTGTGCACTGCCCGCAAGCTGCACTCTGCTGACCGTCTAATAACATCTTTATATCTGTATAAACCTTTACCATTGTCAGACTTGTTCCCCTATCATCCTTAGATCCCCATAGGGTCCAAGCAATAAAGCCCTATTTGCAAACGAGAAATTTTTGAATCAGAGGATGAGGGTGACCTGTCCAAGGTCACACAGGAAAACGTATCCTCAGCCATGCCAGGGCCCAACCAACATTGAGAAGCTAGACCCCGACTCACACAGGCACTGAGGAAGTTGGGGAAGTTCTCCTTCATCATCGTCAGCAGGCTGGGCTTGTCAATCTTGTCGTCACGTCCGGTGTATTTGTGAAACATGTTGATCATGCCCACTATGGACTTCTCAGCTTGAGTGCTGCTCATCTTTGCTTTCAAAAGGCTTCAAAAAACAGAGACAATCGTTTCTTTCCCTTCCTTAGAATTAAGGTCTCTATATGAAGGTGTAGAAAGGACAGCTGAGGAGCGAGTAAAACAGGGCTGAGATGGAGCAGAAGGAACTCGACTTTTTTAATGTGATGAGGTAATTTGCTCAAACATGGGAGGGTCGAACCAAGTCTGAGACCCGCCCCATCCTGGCCGGGGCCAAGAGGAGATGTAGCTGGAAGGCCAGCTGTGGACGGTGCTTTGGAGAGCTAGAAGCAGGAAGAGACGGGGCCAACAGCACGTGGAAGAACTGAACCCTCCTGAGCTGGGACCCCCAGCCACAGCCGCGCATGGCAGACCCCACTCCTCAAACAGCACCAAATCCATCTCCTCCAGCTTCACCGTCGGGGTGAGAGTCACAGGGGCAGGACAATGGCCTTTGATCTGGTCTCTGACCCTCCTGGGCTGCTTGAGGAACAAGACACCGTGGGCCCCACCTTGACTCAAGTGCGAGCCCTGCCTGACACGGTGTCTGCAGGCTCCAGGTGCACATGTGAGTGTGGACGTGAGTGTGAGCTGGAAACACAGCCCTGTCCTGAGCACGGGGGCCCTTCCTGCATTCCCTTGGGAATGAGAAACAGGCACAGCCTCTGTTACGTGGAACAGAAATGACTTCCTGGTTCTTAAGCTGTTGAATGGGATGGGGGTGAGGCGGGGGTCCCTTCAGGTCTGCTCTTGGGAATTATCTGCACCCTCTGAATCACCAAGGCTTGACTCTTTAAATAAAAAGTTCTGACTTTCCAAAGCAGATAGTCTGGGCTGGCCTGCACCCAAGCCTGAAAAATAGGACAGTGCAGCTCTCACTTCCCACCCTTTCCAAAGAACCAGAAAATGACCTTGGCTAACGCGTGTAGCATCTGACAATAAACCCCCATCACCTCCCAACGCAGGAGAAAGCGCCGTGCCGGCAACTGACTAAAAGGAGCCACCCAAAGCTTTTTGAATCTGAGGCCAAAGCAAGGGGCTCAGCCCAGTTCCGAGGATAACTGAGACTTTGTAGGTCCCAGGCCTGGGGCTTTGAAGAGCCCCCAAAGCATTCACAAGGGACCTTTATCCCTCCACCCTCTGTGGGGGTGGAGCTACAGAGGGGATTCAGAACCCCAGACCCCAACAAGAGGATGAATCCAGGGAGGAGAAGACAGGGAGGAAACAGAGGGTGCTGTGCTCAGGTCCCACTGGGGACATTTCCACAGGAATTGTCTCAGGAGACCCCGTAGGAGCAATGGGCAGGGCTGGTCCAGCCTCCTGGTTCTACAGAGGAGCGCTCTCGGGCTCCAGTGAAGGTCACACATCCCGGCTGGTGGCAGAGCTGGCCTAGACCCTGGATCCTGAGACTTCATCCGCAGCCCTTCCCCCTACTGCAGACAGCACAGCAGGCCAAACACTGGGCACTGCTAGAAAAGGCAGAGGGGCAGGTGAGACTTACCAGAGCTGGGACGTGTCAGCAGGGGAAGGATGCGTGAGATGTGTGCGTTTGGACGAACAGCAGTCCCTTTATAAGGCTCAGCCTGGCTCTTCCCAGGGGCTGGAAGGCCCGGGGCCACCTCTGTCATCTGTTTCTTGCCCCACATCAGGTGGGTGGGACACACCCAGCAGACTCTGCTCAGGATTTCTGGCCAGAGTCCCAGGTCACCAGGTCCCACACCACCCCAGAGACCGCACTGGGGCCTTCTCTGGCTCAACCTTGATTTGGGGGTAAGGCAGCAGGTGCATGTGTAGTCGCGGGACAGCAAGTGGAAGAAAAGAGCGCTGGGGCTCCGGACCCAAAGAGGATGGAGCTTCAGCCTCCAGAGCAGCATGGTCTGTCTGCTCCGTCTCCTAGTCCTCCCGCACAGTTGCTGTGACGGCCTGTTCACGACCCCTCCACGTCCTGCGCGTTTTCATGTGCAGACATCAGGAGCCCTGCTGCGCCTGCATCCTCCCCAGTCCTCTTCGTCCTATGAGGCAGGCACCGCAGCCTCTATTTTTGGAAAGAAGTTGAGATGTTTCCAAGGTTACTCAGCTAGTAAACACAGCAAATCACCATAGGAACACAGAAAAGCCCGAATCAAATCCTTACTCTCATCCCCTCTGCTCTGTCTTGGGTCGCATCAGGGCCTGCCCCATGGGAACTCAAAGTCCAGGGAGTGAAGCAGGGTCACCTCACTGCCAGTCATGGGTCAGCCCCTCACAGAAGCCCTGGATCCAGGTGCGGGGACTGGGGTCGGGGTCTCCCTCTCTAGGTTGAGTGACCCCCATGGAATAAGCCTGGAGGCAGGGAGTGAGCAAAGTTCTTTCCTGCCCCAAGGCAGTAACTTCCCAGAAAGTCTCCAATGTTTTTCTTCCTCTATGCAAAACAGCCTGTGTAGGAGTTGGGCGTTGTGCTTTTGGCCATAATGTGCCCTAACCTGCTGCGGAAACGTTGACCCAGGTAGGGGCTAGGAGGTTGGGAAGGCGCAGAGTCCCTGGGGCACGGTGAGGAAAGAGAGATGGTGAATCACTGAAATGGGCTCTTTTTCTGCCGCCCCCTTCCAGTGTTCCTTGTGCGCTGCTGGAGAGTTCCGGGTTCATTCAGTGCCGGCCCCTTAAGCACTCTGGGGCTCCATAGAGCCAATGTGATATCTTCCTAGGTGGGGCCTATTTTCTCCACCCATCATATCCCTTCAGCTTCCTTCTCCATCAGTCCTCATGTAACCAGGGGCACCTGCTTCTCCCTCTCCCACTTCTGCATATAATGGTGATATTATTTTAGTGGCAAAAGATATACACACACACACACACACACACAGACACACACACACACACACACACACACACACGGAATACTCAACCATAAAAAGGAATGAAATGACACCTTTGCAGCAACATGGATGGAACTGGAAGCCATGACCTTAAGTGAAATTACTCAGAAACACAAAGCCTAATACTCCGTGCCCTCACTTATAAGTGGGTGCTACATCATACATACAGATGGAGGCAGAGAGTAGAATCACAGCCACTGGAGACTGTGAAGGGCGGCAGTCAGGAAGTGGGTGAAGGATGAGACATTTTTAGTGGTATAATGCACGCTATTTAGGATGGGCTACATTAAAAGCTCCGACTTCACCATTGTGCAATCTATTTATGTACATTTGTACGCGGGTTTTTGAGGAGACATATTTTCAGTTCCTTTGGGTAAATCCTGAGGAGTGTGGTTTCTGGATCCTATGGTAAGAATGTGTTTAGTTTTTTAAGAAAGCACCAAACTGTCTTCCAAAGTGGCTGTACTATTCTGTGTTCCTGCCGGTAATGAATGGGAGTTCCTATTGCTCCACATCCCTCTTCAGCGTTTTGTGTTGTCAGTGTTCCACATTTTGGCCATTCTCATAAGTGTGTACTGGCATTGCACTGTTGTTTCAATCTGCGTTTCCTTGAGGACATATGATGTGGAGCATCTTCTGACATGCTGATTTGCCACCTGCTGTATCTTCTCTGATGAGAAGTCTGTTAAGGTCTTTGGCCCATTTTCTCATTGGTTGGTTTGTGTCTTACCGTGAAGTTTAAAGAGTCCTTTGTATGTTTTGGATAGCACTTCTTCGTCTGACATGTCTTTTGTAAGCATTTTCTCCCAGTCTATGGCTTGTCTTTTCATTCTCTTGACAATATCTTTCACAAAGCAGAAATTTTTAATTTTAAAGAAGTCCAGCTTACAAATTCTTTCTTTCATGAACTATGCCTTGGTGTTGCATCTAAAAAGACATCACCAAAACCAAGATGATCAAGTTTCCTCTTATGCTACCATCGAGGAGTTTTGTAACACTGTGTTTTGCATTTAGGTCTGTGATTCATTCTGAGTTATAGATCATCACCACGTAGGAAAAAAAGGAACAGAAGTAAAGCAATACAAAAGAAATCAGGGACAACAATACTAATACAAGACAACAAAGAATTCTAAGGAAAGAAATTAAACAGAAAAGAAGAATAGTTCTCATTGATTAGTGTGCAAGTCACCAAGATGCAACAGTCTTATCCTTTTTTGTTTGTTTGTTTTTTTGAGACAGAGTTTTGCTCTTGTTGCCCCAGCTAGAGTGCAATGGAGTCATTTCGGCTCACTGCAACCTCCTCCTCGTGGGTTCAAGCGATTCTCCTCCCTCAGCCTCTCGAATAGCTCGGATTACAGGCCTATGCCGCCATACCTGGCTAGTTTTTGTATTTTTAGTAGAGATGGGGTTTCATCGTGTTGGCCAGGCTGGTCTCAAACTCCTGACATCAGGTGATCCGCCTACCTCAGCCTCCCAAAGTGCTGGGATTACAGGTGTGAACCTCAGTGCTGGTGATAGTGTTATCCTTGTATACACAAGAACACAATTTTAAATTATATAAAGCAAACGTTAAAAGAAATTAATGAAAACTGACAAAGTTATATCACTTGGCAGGTTTTGGCAGAGTCTTCCCAGGACTCAATAGAGTAGTCAGATAACAAAACAACAGAAATGGTGCAGAGCAGGGCGGGCAGAATCTGCCACAGCCCAGAAGCAGCCCCAGACATAAGGGCACCGTGGATGACAACAGCCGCGTCTAATAAACATTAATCTCCAGAAAGGGGTGGCCAGCTGGATTTGGTTTGAAGACCATAATTTTCTGATTCCTGGTATAAAATATTTGAAGGACACACTTACGTTTATTTATACACACATACATTCATAAATTTGTGCTCAACCATGAAGAATATGCATAAATTTCAAACATATTTGAGACATCCAAAAACTGATCATTTGTTTTTGCCAAAATCAGAATCTTAGCAAATTAGCCTAATAGAGTCTTATCTTTTGCACCTGCTGATCACAGTGAACCCTGTGAGCCCTTCCCCTGTGTCATGTCTGGAACAAACACTCCATAAACCCACCCCGCCCCAGCACGCATCCAGCCTCCCAGCCACTGCTGACCACCGGGGAGAGCTCGCAACAGGCTGGCCGTGAACAGGAATCTGGCTGGTTGATATGTTCATCTCCTCCATGTTTTGGGGGAGCTCCCCTCTCCTCAGTCTGAGGTAGAGGCAACTCACTCCTGGGTCTCTAGAAAATCTCAAGTTGCTGGGGAAGAGGACAGGAAGCCATTTGCTCTGTTTGCTGTATTCTATCCATTCATTTGTGTTTTGAGTGCCGACTGTGTTCCTGGCGAGCAGGTGTGGGGGTGTCAGGGAGATGGAGTGGATGTGGACGGTGCTTTGAGCCATGCTCCGGCCCCAGGAGGGAGCTCCACTAAGCCAGTGTGTGGTGAGAGAGTGGGGTGGACAGAGCCGGGGAACCCCCAGCTCCCCAGGCAGGTCAGTGGTCACTTTCTCTGTGAAGCCTTCTCCAGGCAGAGCCACCATCCCCATGTCCCTGCACATCTTGGTGACAGCCCTGGCCACACATGTGCTATGTTTGATGCCACCCGCCCTTGGTCGTGTGCCCCCAGCCTCCAGTGCAGAGAACTCCGTACACGTTGGCTGAACTAGCAAGTGAGGCAGGTGTCTTCAGAAAGGTTCAGGTAAAGTGTGTGGGAACTTGGAAGAGGAGAAATCGCTTTTCAGGTGGGGGAACCAGGGAAAGCTTTGTTGGGCATCCTTTCAATAGGACGTGGAGCACTGCCAGGAGCAGAGGGGAGGACAGAGAGAGCCACAGGGATGTTCCGAGACAGTCAGCTCTTCTGTTTGGGGCCCTTCTGGGTGGTGTTGGCCGGCTGCATCCCTGGACTCAAGCGGCAGTTGGGGGAGGGGGACAAAGAGAGAGAGAGAGAGTCCCACAGCGTTCACAAGAGATTATTAGGACTCTGTTCTGCTGTCAGCCATCCGCACTGGAGGATGAGAACACCCAGCTGCAGCCTAGAGCCTGTGGTCCAAGGGAGGGCAAGGGTTAAAGAAAGGTGCAGAGAGAATCGGAGGCTCTACAGGTGTTATGTCCGGCACAAGACCTGAGGAGGTGGGGGAGCAGCCTGCTGCCACAGCCCCCTGCCGCTTACAGGCTGGGGTAATTTCTAGGCCTGGGCGGGGGGGGCGGTGGTGTCTGGGCGTTGATGACTTGCTGCCTGGGAGGATATTGATAAGCTGCTTATGTGATCAGGTGGGTTGGACCTTTTTATGGTGGGACGTGACAGGCTGTTTCTTGGACCTTTGCCCAGCAGTTGTGGTAAGGATGTTCCTGTGCCTTGCAGTCGGGACGTTAGGGACGTTTCTCACGGCCAGAATCTCCATGGAATGTTTTGCCGTGACCAAGGTCTGTAAAATGGCAGGGGGCTTATAAAATGATGAGGTTTTGGGCTAACACCCACCATCCTGTCTTGAATGGGTTGGCTGGAAGGCTTGACTGTCAATTCTGTTATTCTGATAAAGGGGGTTGCTTTCTCAGAGGCCACATACACAGACAGTGCTGGGAAGTGACCCATGAGTACCCTGAGAAATTTACCTATTCAGCCAGATTTCAAGTTGGCAATGATCGTTCCTCATCTCATCCAATTTCAAGAGGAAGCTGGGCCCTGTAGGTTAAAACTGGCAAGCTGGAGAAAGCAGTGGAGGCCACTCCAGGAAGGTTCCCTGACCAAGGGGAACTGCAGGATTCTGACTTTTGTCAGAGCTGTTCTGTTACAGTTGACGCCAGTCAGAAACGCAGGCCAAACTCTGGTCCTGAGGGCAGAGAATTGGTTTTGTTTCCCAAGCTTCCCCACAGTGGCGCCACCGCGCACACACCTCGCCCTTGTGGCTGCAGGGGAGGTCTCCACGTGCTGGGCCG